GGGCTGTGTAACTCAGAATGGGAAAATGGAAAGCTGGTGCATCAGCACTGGAAGTGATCGGCTGGCCTATTAGGAAGTGGGTGAACACTGGCCAGCCCTCTTGCCAAGAAGTCAAACGGCACCTTGCATGGCTGAGACACAGAGGCCAAAGCCCAAGGAACGTCCTTCTGATCTCCTCAAAGCCTCAGCTAAGGCACGGAAGTGCACAACTCTTCCTCGTGAGAAGAGATCCACTCATGACTTGGTGGGAATTTTAGTTTTGGGCCTGCAGATTTTATTTTTTAATTTTTTAATTCAATTTTATCTTATTTTGAAGAGGAGAAAACAAAAGCAAAAACAAATAGGAAAAAAGACATACAACATACAACAATGCATATTACAGATTTTCAAAACAGGAATAGCCAATTAACAAAGGTTGTTGTATTCTCTATTTTTATTGTCAAATCTGTTGCTCAGATTAACAGATATAGTCATGCAAGAGTCAACACATAACTGAATATTAATTCTTGCGTTCAAGAAATCTTAATTTTTTTCTTGTCTTTTTAAAAATGTATTTTAAAGAGAATATAATAATTGATAATAAATTAGAAAGGTGCACACGTAGAAGACTAAGATGAGAGAGGTAGTCAACAATGGGTCTTGTATTACACATTGCTGTCCTCAATGTAGTTGTTCAAATCATAGATATCAGCATACAGAGTTAGTCAAGGTGAAAATTTCAAACATTTAAACACTATTTTCAAAGACTGATGGAAATTATTAGTGCAATCATCTCAGCCATCCTGGATATATACTTGCATGCTTACTCCCTTTTTGCCTATCTTTTCTTATTTCTTTTTGTTGTTTAATCCTTAAATTCAGTTTATTTCCATTTTACCATATCTATTGTTCCTTTCAGGTTTTGTTTATTCTTTCTGGTTCTTACACTAGGGAAACAATGTGACATTTACATATGTGGGTCTGATTTATGCCCCTTGGGAGTATAGCCTATAGTTGCATCCACTTACCTATAAAGACTTTGAGTTTGTCTTTCTTTATAACTGAGTAGTAATCTACTGTATAAAAATACCACATATTTTTTAAATCTATTCCTCAAGAGATAGGCATTTTGATTGTTTCCAAGATTTGGCTGTGACAAATTGTGTTGCTATAAATGTGATTGAACACATATCACTATGGTATGGTATGATGTTTTCATTTCTTTTGGAAAAATACCCAGAAGAGGAGTTGCTGGATAGTATGAGATTTCCAGTCCTAGTTTTTTGAGGCGTCTCCACACTGATTTCCATAGTGGTTGTACCAGTCTGCATTCTCACCAGCAGTGGAGTAGGGTTCCTGGCCTCTCCAGCATTTGTTATTAGTTGGTTTCTTTATGACAGACATTCTTTCTGGAGTGAGATGGTATCTCAAAGTTGTTTTAATTTGCATTTCTTGAAAGGCTGATGCTGTGGAACATTTTTTCACTTATTTATTTGCAACTTGTATTTTTTCCTCTGAGAATTATGTATTCATCTCACATGCCCATTTTTGGATTGGGTCTTTACATTTTGGGGGCCATTTTTTTAGTTCTTTACATAATTTATATAAATGTCCTTTGTCTGAGTGATTGTCAGTTATGATTTTTCCCCATTTGTGTGTTGCCTTTTCACTCTACTGGTGATTTCTTTTGACATGCAGAAGCTTTTCAATAAGATGAGATACCAGTAGCTGATTCTTTGCAGCATTTCCTGTGTAGCTTGGATTTTGTTCTTGAACTGTCTGCCTACTCCTATGTCTTCAAGATTTCCACCTACTTTCTCTTCCAGGAAATTTACTGTTTCTGTTTTAATGTTTAGATCTTTAATTGATTTTAGCTTTATTTTAGTGCATGATGATAGAAGTGGGTCTAGTTTTAGTTTTCAGCATGTGGAGAGCCAGTTTTTCCAGCACTATTTGTTAGAGAGGCTAGTGAACATGTTTGGCCCCTTTGTCAATGACAAGATGGATAAGTGTGTCTGTAATTGGATATTGTTTCTCTAATTTCTCTCTCAATGAGTTTGTTATCTGTGTAGAGGAATGCTATTGATTTTAGGGTGCTGACTTTGTATCCTGTTATGTTACTGAATTTGTTTACTAATTCTAGGAGCTTCTTGGTGGAGTTTGTCATTCTTTCAAGTAGAGTATCATGTGATCTTCAAATAATGATAATTTAACTTCTTCTTTACCTATTCTTATTCCTTTTATTTCTCTCTCTTATCTAATTGGCCTGTAGGCTTGAAAAAGGAAGGAAATGATGAAATTTCAGATAATTGCTAATAAGTAGTAGGCAAAAGCAGGAGACTTTCCATTGTATTTTGTTTTCCAACCATTGATAAAGATGCTTTCATGGGGCTGGTGAGATGGCTCAGTGGTCTAAAGCACCTACTTAGAACAAGCTTAGCAAAGCACAGAGACCACGGTTCAATCCCCCAGCACCACATGCCAGCCAGCCCCGCCCCCTGGTGGGCTGACCTGCCCCCCCCCACATAAATAAATAAATAAAATTTTTTAAAAAAGATGCTTTCAGGCTAACCAACCTGCATTTAAAATGATTATTTCACCCACAGAGTCATTGCATGATATTGGCCAAAGAAAGTAACTTACTTGTCTCAATGCTCTGAGAAGTGTTTTCAAGTTAAATGCTTAATTCTGAAAAGATGTATTGTCCTAAAGTAAAATTAACTCAGGAAGACATATGCTGCCTCAGTATGAGCTATCTTCTCAATTTCTCTGTTTTCCTTTTCTCACTTTTCCAGTGGACAATGTGCATAAGGCTGTCTGCATTCCTTTTTTCTGAGTAGGAGGTGAAAGCTTCCTGGCATAATATAGAGGCCAGATCTGCACTTTCTACAAGTGAGGGCAGTCATGACATGTCCGTGCAAATTTTTTTTTTTTTTGAACTGGAGATTGAACTCAGGCCCTTGTGCTTGCCAGGGAAGCACTTATTCTACTGAGCCATCTTCCCGGCCCCACTATGCAAATATTGATAGGGTGATTTTCATTTACTCTAGTCTAACATTAGATCAAACCATATGAATGTCTACATTTAATCATTTTTGACCTAAGGAAAAGGTCATTTATGTTCTGGCTAATAAGAATGTGCTATAAGAAATTTACTTGTTTACCTTATTAATTTTATAGTTATTTTACTGGTACATATTTGTAGTGCATAATATTTACATTTCTTGTATGGAGTTGGCTCATGTATGTAATACAGTTTAACTTTTTTATGTCCTTCCTCTTCTTTCCCACCTCTTCTTCCATTTCTTGATTCTCTTCCTATTTGAGAAAGTTCTGTCTCCTTACTTTCTATTATCTATTTTTTATTTTCCCTTGATTTATAATTTGGGCTTCCAGTTTTATCTGTTTTTAGAAAAAATAAAAACCTGGAATCTTAGTACTGCCATTAATCAATACCTATAATGTATTGTTTACTCATAATAGAAGACAGATTGTGTCTTGCCTAAGAAATTCCTTTCCCCTGGCAGCATCTTTAATTGCTAGTCTTCTATTTATAGCTTGTTTACATATGCATCCATTATAGATAGGGAGCATATTATTTCCTTGTCACTCGGAGATGCGTCAAGGATATGTGCATGTGTCTTTAGTTATGCCTGTTAAACTACTTCCCCAATGCTTCTCATCATGGTGTCTGAACTCAAAGCTCTGCTGGGAAATGGTGTAATGGAGACTGCATACTCTTCAGCTTGGCCTTCATGGATATAGTTAAACAGGTCTTCTTTCAAAGTCTGTGATTGTTGTCTTTGCCAGTGTCCTTGGTGATATCAGTGCCATTTTAGTGTGATTGATTGAAGCAATTTAAATGATGCAATGACCTTTTTCCACTGGGAGTATTTCTCTTCACAATATTCTTCTCAGCCTGGTTCCACATGAATTCAGGACACACACCCGCACACACACACACACACACACACACACACACACGTACCTTAACTATGATGGAAATGATCCCAATGGGGCTTTCAGTTAAATATTCTGTGTTGTTTCTTCTGCAGTTACTACGTGGGCATGTGTGGAGATGGCGCCAATGACTGTGGGGTGAGTAGCAATGACTTCTGCTCATGTGAGTGGCTCCATATCCCTTCTGAGGACTCCAAGGTCCCCTGGAGCCTGTCTCTTCATCCTTGCACCAGCAGTGACTTGGTCCTTTTGCTGAGCAAGCCCACCTCTGCCTGAATATGGGGTAGAAGTGGAGAAAAGGAACGAGAGATGGATCAGAAGAGCTGTGTTTGGCAAACCTGGCTTTTTTTTTTTTTTGTGGAACTGAGGATTGAACTCAGGCCCTTGCACTTGCCAGGGAAGTGCTTATTCCACTGAGCCATCTCCCTGGCCCAAACCTGTCAGTCTAAAGACAGCAGGATCACCACTGAGTTCCTTATGTTTCAGACCCAGAAAGAGCCTTGGTACAGTGAGCTGGTTTTAATCTTCTGTGTTATCAAAAAGGGAATGAAAGCAATGAGGATGTGTCAAGCACATGTGTAGGTATACTAACTGCTCACAGTGCAACTTATCATTATGTATGGCAAATGCAGACTTAAACAAAAAATAAGAAATGAATGCTCAAGGAGGGAAGAGAAGTGTTTTTGCCTGGAGGCAAATAGCTGATAGTCTTGGTGAAGAAAAAGTTTGAAACTGATCATTAAAGTTTTAAGCTATATGTAAATCGTGTCTTATCTCTGCTAAACTTCCACTCTGGGATTAATTTTTTAAAATTAGCTTTCTGCTAAACTCTTCATGAAATCCTAGATGATTTAGTTATCACCTACTTCACACAACCTTAATTGAATGAGCCTCGTAAGATTCCTTACACACAGTAGAATAACACCTTTTTGATCTGTGGTATGATTGCAATGGCAGTCTAATTTGAAGGTTGGTAAGGTTTTGGCAGCTAATTGTGGAACAAGAAGGAAAGTGGTGGAGAACTTGCCTGGCATGTGCAAGGCCCCTAGTCAATCTCTGCCACCCCCAAAGTAAAACAATCTTGTACTATGAATAACTACTACAAAACAACAATATGCAATGTATTAATTATTGTAACTGTCCTAATAACCTGTTTTGAAACTAATTGCTACTTCTTTCTCAATAAAATTAATATAAAAACAGAGATTAGGATGACCTAGGCATTTGTTTTACTTTCCTAAGTATTCTCTTGAAAGTTACGTGAAATCCTGTTCATACTGAGATTTATGATAAGTTCTTGAGTGTTGCTTCTTTTTTTCCCATTTTTAAAATTAATTTTATTGAGAAACAGCAATGAGACAGTTTCAAAACTGATTAATAGTACAGTTTCAATAATTAATACATGGCATACTGTTATCTTAGTGGTTATTCATAGTACAGGATGCAGACATGTTATCCTGTCCAAATACTATTAGTACAAATCTTTCTTCTCATTGAATTAAGAGAAAGTAGCTGTATATCTATCCAAACTATTTTGTATATACAAATACAAAATAGTCCTTCCTTTGTATCCCCTTTTTTGTTTGGTTTTGTCAGAGATGGGTATTCCACTGCCATTGAAATATTGTAGGTGCATGAATCCAGCAAAATAATCCAATATAGTCCGGTAGTCCATAATAGTAGTGGGTTATCCATAGGACTGGCAATATCAGAAGTTGTTGACTTAAGCCATTCACAGCTCAGCATATTAATATGGCTTTACTTTTTATACCTCATTTTTATACTTTTCTGCTGATAAAGACTTATATACTTTATACTTGCTTTAGATAAAGCAAGATATATATAACAAGAAATGTAACTTTTGTATCTGATTAGGTCAGTCAGGTCCCCTCAAGATTTATCCTGTAACCCTGTAATGCAGTTTGCGTATCCTTATTCAATGTCAGCTATGTTGATGAGTCACAGCCATTGCTTGACAAATGTGCTCTCTGTGAAACTCTGAGAGCATGTTTTCTCTCCATGTGACTCTTTTTAGGCACACTCTACATCATTGATCATGTTGTGCTGTGGCCCCATAATCTCCTTGATCAGAAAATTTGGGACACAACTGAGTTACATGATGTTACAGTGTAGGTTCTCCTATGCCCTGAGTCTTCACTGACCTTGAAATGCTAGGGCCAAAATGTTGGATGTCCTTGCAGCCCTTCTTTTTCTCTGATTTTTGGTTTGCAAATTTAGGTTGTTAGCCCTCCAAAAGAGAAGCTTATTATTACCTTCAACATATGCAGTTGGGTTTAACTTCACTATCTCTCTGAATATCAAACATCTTAAACATAACATAAAACAGGTAATTTCCATCTAGTATTGATATGTTAAACTTTAAGTCTCTACAGAATATGGAGAAAAAAAATTTTAAAAATAAAAAGTATTTTAAAAATATAAATAAGCATTTGCATATTTTTACACAGAAATTTAGAAAGCTAACCATATACAGCATTGTAGCAAGACAGTCCTGTGGCTTTATTTTCTTGTCTTTTTTTTTTCATTTATTACCTTTTTTGTTTTAAACAAACATTAACTTGAGAGACAGTATGGCAATAATTGGTATGTCATGACAAGCAGTACCTATTTAGAAGACCAGAATGACAGGCATTCCAAGCATGACCCTTCTATTACATATTTCTATCTTCACTGCAGTTGCTTAGTTCACAGCTATCAGCATTTATAATAGTCAGGGTGAGAATCCTACCAATGAACTGCTAGTTTAAAAAATCTGCCATAGTGTCTCAGGATCATTGCCTTACCCATCTTGTGCGTACAAATGTATGGCTTTCACTCTGTCATGTTTCTTAGCTTTTCTCCCAGCCCTCCCTTCTTTGCCCAATCCTAAAGTTCTCGCTTTCCTTTTCATTGTGTTGTACTTTTCTATTTGTATTTCTTCTTTTGAGTTCTTGTACTAGGGAGACTATATGATATTTGCACATGTGGGTCTGGTTTATTTCACTCATGAGTATATCTTCAAGTGGCATCCACTTAAATATAAAGGCTTTATAGCTGAGTTTTCATTCTTTATAGCTGAGTACTACTCCATTGTGTAAAAATACCATATCTTTTTCATACATTCCACAGGTAACAGGCATCTTGGTTGTTTGGAAGATTTGGCTATCACAAATTGTGCTGCTAGAAACATAGGCGTACATATATCACTATGATATGACATTTTCAGTTCCTCCGGGAAAATTCCCAGTAGGGGGATAGCTGGCTTGAATGGGATTTCCAGTCCTAGTTTTTTTTTTTTTTTTTTAATGCAGCTATATATCTATCCTAATCATTTTGAATACCCAGATACAAAACAGTCATTCATCTGTAAGCCTTTTTTTGTTTAGTTCCGTCATTTAAATATTATAAGTGTGTGAACTCAGCAAAATATTCCAAAATAGTCTAGTGGTCCATAATAGTATTGGTTCTTCCGCTTGACTGGCAATGTCAGAAGTTTTTGAACTGAGTCCCCCACATCTCAACATAACAGCATGGCTTTACTTCTTATACTTCATTTTTATAATTTTCTGCTGGATGGTTAAGACCAAGATAAAGCAAGACCTGTGTAACAAGAATTTTAGCTTTTGGATCTGATAAGGTCAGTGAAATCCCCTCAGAATTTGTCCTGAGACCTTGTACCTCAGATTGTAGATCCTTTGTCAGTGTCAGCCATGTGGATGAGTCACGGCCATTGCTTGGTCAACTTGCTCTCTCTGAAAGCCTGAGAGAATGTTTTCTCTCCATGTGACTCTCCTTAGGCATGCTCACTATCTCTCTGAATATTAAACATCTTAAACATCAATCATTTTCCACTTTGGCCCATAATCTCCTTGATCAGAAAATTTGGGATACTACCGAGTTACATGATGTTATAGTACAAGTTCTCATATGTCCTGAGTCTTAATTGACCTTGGAAGGCTAGGG